TTGACTCAATTTGTATTTCACATAATTGTTTGTCTAACGGATAAAAAGTAAAATCCATTTGACTGAAACCATTTAACATAATCCTTTTAAACAAAAGTGTTAATTGTTAATATGGTTTAAATGTGCAAAGTTTGTCATTAAAACAGTAACCTTTTGCTGACCAGAACTTTGCCATCGGACTGAATGTGTGTGAGAACTGGATTCTGGTCTCCAGTTTGCAGAATATCTGGCTGTTTGTTGTTAGGTATGTGCAGAGATGGTGTCCATATCCTGTTGACGTGCCACTGACCACCTTCTAATACCAAAACTTTATTTGCTTTCGTATTATTAACGGCCAGTCTCTCGTCAAACCACTCAAATCGCATCAATAATTGTATGCTATATTCCTGTCGTTTAATTTAATAGACTATTGAAAACAAGTTTATAAATGATCTCTAATAGCCTTACAGTTCTTATTTCATCAATAGTTCCAAAACTGAATAAATAAATACTTGTGTTCACTATAATTGGCACTAATTTGTTAAATTAAAATGAACTGTATTATAATTATGTTAAACATATAGTTTATAACTTAAAACAATACTTTGGGCTTTGGGTGCAATCCATTTGCAGTAACCCATACTTTGAGAAGTTTTGTTTTCAAATAAGTCGATGTCATAACTGTCTACCAGTGGTTGACAAGAATTACTTTTAAAATAAAAAATGGCAATAACATATAAATTAATAAATTTTAATAAATTCATTTTTATAAAAAGTAAATTTTAATGAGTATAGAAATCACATATTGTCAAATTGAATACCAAATAACTAACTTTTACTGTTGGATATAAAGAAATTTGTATTGATTTGATTTATAATAAAGCTTTTTATCATGATATTTGGTTTTACAAATACTGATGAGTAGTTAATATATTCCCAGGATTAATTGGTATTTCATTTGTGTAAGCATTGATACTTCAGAGAAGACTTCACAATTTGGATGCAATTATTATCCTTTGTTTTCATGTAGCAATTGATTGCATATAAATAACAAAATACGTATATAACTTAATTCATAAATTCATTTAAACCAAAAAGTCTGGTTACTACAGTATTTTCTATAAAAATAAAGATATCTAAACATTGGTTTATACGGTAAAGTAATAAAAATCAAAAGAATTTTAATTTATTTTGCAATTTATTCTGTTATTTTAACACTACAAAATACTGTATTACTGCAGTACTACTGTTAGTTACCTGTAATATGAAAAATTTAAAAATAGATTAAATTTTTATTTGAAAATTATTTTTTTGATAATTTTATTGATCTATGGTAATAATAATATTTTATTGTTACTAGTATGTTATTTATTTTAGATATCTGAGATATTATTTTGAATTATGCTGAAATAAAAAATAATCATTAATATGGGAAAAAGACAATCACTCATGATTTCGACGCCAATAAAACAATTCTTATCAATCGATTGATAGCTAAAATATTTGTAACTTTATTATTACAAAAAGTACAGATTATGGTAAAACAAAAAAGTGCACTATTTAAGTGCATTTTGCATAATAGATGATATAAAAAGCGGTTTTTATAATAGATTAATAAATATCTTTATTTCAAAAACAATATTTTTTATAACTTAATACAAGTGAGAGTTTGCGAGAACTAAAATTTAAAAGTATAGAAATGTAGGCAACAGTTGTCAGATTAGGGATAACGTTGAGATCAATTGTGTGGTGATAAGTATGTCTACTCACGTGCGCCACTCTTATCACTCCGAAACTGATTTTATGAATACACGCTTAAAAACTTTTATTATTTTTACCCTTGAATTTGATTTCAATTTACTTACTATAACTGCATTATTATGGGTACAGTAAGTTTACAGTACAGTGCATCTGTTACAGTTTATTACAGTTTTCTTATAGATAAACAATGTATTAATTTCTTTCACAAAGAATATTCAATAGAAATTCTTTCAGAGTATAATACAATATTTATTTTTAAATATTTAAATTATTTTTATCAAAAATAATTTCATGGGTGTAATAATTATTATAGAAATATAATATTATTTACAAATCTGTATACAATAGTGATACAGTATTTAACGGTTAATATTAATATAGATATTTATAGATATATTTAGCTATAATTGTTATTTAATTTCATATAGATTTTTAATTACTCAGAAAACATTGTCCAATCATTAAATCCAAGAAAACATATCCAGTATTGAGTAGAATTGGGTTTAATAGTTGATCACAAATATAATCTCAAACTAATGTCCATTATGTGGGTGACCATTGTGTTTATCACACGGACAGAAAGCACAGAAATGCATTGCAGACCATTCTTCGTGAGCATCCCTCACACTCTTGATGTGCTCCCGGTGCTCATCGTGAGCTACTTTAGTCAGTCTATCATAATATATGAGTTCTCGTCTCAATCGGTTAAACCAGCCCCAGATGTTGGGGTATGAGCTCAGATCAAACTCGACTGCAATTTCCAGTAGAGTAACATTGGCCAACAGGGAGATGTCAGCGATCGTAAGGGTATCCCCGGCCACGTAGTCCTTATTGATTAGAAATATCTCTAAGAATGTCAGACTTAGACACTCGAGATGTTTACACAGTGATGCTCTCCGTGACATGAGTAACCCGTCGACTGTCTTTCATGTTATAGTAGTTACATAAAAATAATTATAATGGTGATTAATAGTAATATTATGAGTGAGTAAACTCGAAATGTGCTGAAATGATAGCGTGACTCAAAGTCTTTAAGTCGAAATTGAGAAGTCTGTCCACAGTTGCCCTTTGCTCAGGATCTTTGGGATATAAACTAGAATTGGGAGCATATTTGTTGCACAGGTATTGCATTATTGCTCGACTTTCCCATAATATAAATCCATTGTCATCTATGGCTGGAACTGTATGGCATGGATTTATCTATAAATAAGTTTGAATGTTAAGTACTTTTTTGTATACTTTTATACTTTTTTGTACTTTATTTTTTAATAATTAATATTTTATTTCAGCATTCCTATTCATTAGTTCATACTAATTGCAGCCATTAAACCTTTTTATTAATTAATAATTAGATTAAATTAAATTATTAAACATGTTATATAATGTGTTAATTTTATCAAAACTACTAGATGGTAAAAAATAATACAGTATATTGTAATTTGGTGTACTGTAGTAGAGTTCCGGGTAAGTGTCAAAATAATTACCCTTAAGATAATGAGTTATCAAATTGAATTTTATCACTTCACTAAGATTATTATTATAGATATAATGTAATTTCAATTATTTATATTAATATTTATGTGTTGCATTAAAATATCTGTTTATCTTTTATGAATTATAATTTATACGTATTATTCTCGTAATAACAAATTATTATCAAGCAAACTATTTTAAGTGCTCGTTTAATTATTATTGTAATGCATTATAATTTATCATTGAATATCATACTTTTAATTTCAAGAAAATATTTATAAATCATGTTACAAAACTTATTTTAAATATATTTTACACACTTATCAGTGAGAAAAAATGAAAAACTTAATGATAGCCATAGTATGGAAATTTCTATGATGTCATGATACAACTTGAAAAATTAATTTCTTGGTCAAATATTGCTTTTACCGTACTAATGCTTTTATTGTAGTAATATTTAATATTTAAAATCTTAAATTATTATGAAAACATCTATTTGTGAAATCTGAATACAGTATATAACTAGAGAGCAATTGATGAAAAACATATACCTTTTTATATTCTTCAGTTGTCGTGTCAATGTAAGGTCTGATGTATATCTCATGGATGGGTAGGTTTAAGTGAGTGACCAACATCTTGACTGCTCGGCACTCGGGACTGATTCTCGACGTATAGAATTTGATTCTCCGAGACTCTGCCTCCCCGTCCACTTCCATAGTGTATCCGTTATATCCATTTCCATTCATTTGCGTATAATATCCATTTGTATTCATATAATTGCCATTCATTTTGAACTCTTTGTTTCACATACAATATTCACATAAAATGGATTTTAATTATATATTTGCGTAAATTTAGAAAACAAAATGTCTTTTTGTTATCATTTATTAAATATGATTACATTATAAGTAAATGCAATGCTATATATTGGGAACAAATAGCAAAATCATTGTTAGCCTAACACTGTTTCCCCGGACACTATCTTATATCTGACAAATTTTATAGTGTTTTCTACATATTATAATCAAACCATTGACTTCTCTAATTAATACCACTTTTAAAGTTTATAATAATTCTCTCTCTCTCTCTCTCTCTCTCTCTCTCTCGTGTGTGTGTGTCTATATAAATACAATGTATTAATGAACTACTTATTTGTAGATCCAACATGGTGTCATTATTTAAATATAGTTTTAATTAAGGCTTAAGTAACATATCATTAATAAGTTTTCATAATAAGTTTATGCAATAAGTTTATATAAAAGCTTTATTAAATAACTACAGTATTAACATAATGATAAAGTATTATCATAAATAATTAATGTCTATAATTAAAAAACTGACAATGCAAGAACGGCAATTGTTATTCAGTTAATTAAATAAAATAAACTGGATTATACTCGTATGGTATGGTATAATAGGACTGTCCAGGTCCGGTAATCTAGAAGCATTAGTACGCTAAAAGCAATATTTGACCAAGAAATTAATTTTTAAAGTTGTATGATGACATCATAGAAATTTCCATACTATGGCTATCATTAAGTTTTTCATTTTTTCTCACTGATAAGTGTGTGTGTGTGTGTGTGTCTATATAAATACAATGTATTAATGAACTAATTATTTGTAGATCCAACATAGTATCATTATTTAAATATAGTTTTAATTATGGCTTAAGTAACATATCATTAATTTTAATAACATTATTTTCTCATAATAAGTTTATACAATAAGTTTATATAAAAGCTTTATTAAATAACTACAGTATTAACATAATGAACATAATGATAAAGTATTATCATAAATAATGAATGTCTATAATTTAAAAAACTGAGTGCTATTTAATAACTTTATAGACACTTTGCCACTTAATTATATGCATATAATTTATGATATAATGATAGCATTATTAACATTAATCTAAAGTGAATCAAATTTTTCCACGGATTCAACGGTGAAATCAAGTACTGATATCGATAACCAAGATTAGTTTATCAGATCGTAGTCTGGGATCACATGACTCTCATATGACACTCAAATTTGGCGCAAAAACTCATTTCCAGTGAAAATATGACTAGTTATATGAAAAGGGCTTATCTGTGCACTACTGGAGCCAACAGTTACGCCATTATAGGAAACACCGGTTTTTTGAATGTGTTTTCATGTGTTTCGTGTGAACGGCAACTGAATTGCAGATCATTTGCATTATCTTTGAGACCAAACGATGGCTAAATCCAAGAGAAGACAATCGACGCCCAAATCCAAGTCACCCAAAGTGGCGAAATACGAGTCGGACGAAGAGGTGGATAAGAGTGAGGCCGAGGAGGGAAAGGGTGGTAGTGGTGGTGGCGGTGAAGAGGCGTATGTGGTGGAGGCGGTCGTCGACAAGAGGCGCCGCAACAACCGCGTCGAGTATCTCATCAAATGGCAGGGATATGGAGATCAAGACAACACGTGGGAGCGTATGTCACCACCAATTGATCCATACATACCATTAACTCATAGTGTAATCGCTTTTGTATTGTCTTTGTTTCCACAGCCGAAGCAAACCTCGACTGTCAGGTGATTATCAGCGCATATGTCTTGATGTGTGAACTCGTGTTTGATGTCTGTTTGGTGTGTTTTATAGGAACTCATTGACGAATACGAGAAGTCCGTCAAGTCTTCGGCGCAGAAGCCGTCAAAGGCGTCGACAGTGACGGCCAAGAAGTCGCGGCCCGCGAGAGGCGGTGGCGAGTCGTCCATTAGGGATGTGATTGGCTTTGAGCGCGGCTTCGAGGCCGAGAAGATCATTGGTGTCACAGAACTCAGTATGAATTGCCGCCATATGTCTTGAACTGGTATTAACTCTATGTTTGTATTGTGGATCAGATGGTGACCTCTTATATCTGGTGCAATGGCAAGGAGGCGGTGACGCGGACTTAGTTCCGGCCAATGTTGCCAACCATAAGTGTCCGCAGATTGTCATTCAGTTCTTTCAGGAGCGGATCCGATTCAACAGACGATAAGTCATACGCTATTCAACACTCATTGCAAGCCTATTGTGAACAACATTTTAAACTCATTCAGCAATTGTATAGAAATGATGTAACTTTTTGATTCAATACCGCATTCATTAATATTTTGTGATATTTTCTGTAATAAATGTTTTCAATTCAAAATGTTTACGTTTATTTGCTAAACGAAATACTTGACATCAACTCGCAAAGTGTCAAAAGTGCTTGAGTTTAGATCTCATTTGAATATAGTATTTTAATCACTGATTTGTTTAAACTTTAAAGAATTGCTTTATTTAATTGTCATTATTGAACACTAACTCAATATCTGTTGATGATCTCAGTGTAGATCGAAAACGTTTGGCTGATCTGTTATTTTTGGATACCTTTCACTGATTAATGAAATAAGTTATTGAAACCAAACACTTAGTTTAAAGAATTACTTTATTTGTTATGTACAGTAAATGATCTGAGTTACTAGTATGAGCCGGTATAATCTAGCGCAAATTAGCCAAATATAGCCGTGTATTAAATGTATAAAATATTTGGTGATTCACACATAGAATAAGAAATCTATTTTTAGATTTCAAATCAAATTGCGGTTATTAAATTTGATTCTGTTTTCATTTGTTTTCATTGTGTGTACACGTGATTGACATACTGTATATAATACTTCACTACTGATTATTACACAATTTGATTCACTAATTGGTATAATATTGTTTCTAATGATTAATTCAACGAACTTTAATTCATATTTTTTCTAAACACAACATGACTATACTATGAATTTAAGTGCACATGTATTACATACTATTAAAGCAATTGTCATTTAAATGAAATCAGAATTTGTCACAAAATTCACGGAATACATTTTTCAAGTTTTATCAATTCTCACATTTCGATTTGTTTAATAACAAATTAATTATATCGATGAAAGTATAATTCGTGAGAACTCTAGCAAAAGTTTATTATTTCAATTATTCATAATAATGAATATTAAATGGCAAACTAAACAGGAAACTGAATAATTAGTGAATTAATTACAATTCATTTAACTCTCATCTTTTCGCACCACTCGTGTATAAAACAAAAGGTATAAAAAGAGATCACTTTTACTAATCAGTAGATAATCGAGTTGTTGTGTATTTAAAGCTTATATAACTTTTGTGTAATATACACGTGTGGATACTTGTTTGATAACTGAAATGAATTTGAGACTGATAATAATCTACACTTTGGTGGCAGTAATCGCCTGCAATCCAGGTATTATTTTATAATAATAGTAATATTATTTATATTGAATTTATTGATAACTTTTTGATATGTTGACAATCAGTGCCGCACAGGCATCACAACATTGAGGTGATGTGGCCGACGCCTAGAGAACCGGAATCCAATGAAATAAACCCAAATTCTACACATATTGTTGTCTCAAATAATACGCTGAATGTCCCGAATTTGCATTCAAATAATACAGTGGCCGCTAATAACGGCACCACTAATTCAAGTGTCTTCCCAGCACCGGTTCCCACACTTTCTGATGACTATTGAATCCCAATTTATATTTTGTTTATTTATTTATACCTTTATACATGTTTACAATTGTTATTTAATAAAATAAAATTGATTAAAAAATTAATGTGAAAATTATTTAAAAAAGATAATTTTAGCAATAATTACCGATATATGTACACAAAATAATAGTATAACATTATATACAACTAAATTTCAATGACAAAATGAGGATGTCAGCGATAGTTAAACGTGAATTTAGCAAGCTAGTTTACTTGATTCGCCAAGTTTAGTCAATTCAAAAGGTTAATTGTGTTACTGGCTAACTAATCATAACAATTAAAACCACTCAATCGAGATTCGTGCCTCGATGTTCCCTACTTAGTTTATTATGTATATTTAAACGTGCTAATATTCGTACTAAATAGGTTATCACATATGGTTAGTAGTGGGCTAATTGAATATTGGTCGCAATGTTACTATGAACAAAATTCTGAACTTGGTCATGAAGATAATTGGATAGGTTTGACTATGGATAATTTTCGGACGACTTTTAAAGTTTATTTGATTTTGAATTTATTATCAATTATCATATTTATGTTTGAATTTGAATGTTTTGTATTTAATTATTTTATAGATTTGTCTTAGTAACTAGAAAATGGTGTTATAAAAATTGTTAATAAAAATTAGATAGATAAGTTTAATATTTCTAATATGTTTTGTATAATTAAAAATATAATAAAATATAAATAAGTTTTTTATTCATTTTATTATCAATAGCAATAATATAAAACTAATTATTCTTTCAAAATTATTTGCATCATTAACATTTACATTATTAATCATATTTAACAATAAAATAAAAAATTTCTTAAATAAGTTACAATAACAATAATTTTATCAAGATAATTAGTTATACTACATAATTGTATTTCATAAATAAATTATAGATGTGCTTACAACATAACATTAAAAATTATTTATTAAATAGAAATTTATCTGGAATTATGTTATAAGGTAATGAATAAACAATTTCATGATAAAAGTAAATTGAATGTACAGAATAGATTTATGAATAAATAGTTATCTTATGTTGGTCAATTTAATATTATAATCAATAAACATGTTTTAAAATAATAATTTTTTATTATAACAAATGTGTACTCTCTCTCTCTCTCTCTCACTCACTCTCACTCACTCACTCACTCTAACTTTCACTCTCTTATTATAATTGATTATAAATATAATTTATTTTAGGAACCACCATTTAAATATTTTTAAAATAATACTGATCTTAAATGCACAATCATTTCATATAAAAGTTTAATAAAAATATAATAAATGTTTAATAAATATTTTATATACAGTAAACGCTATTTAGCAAAAACGTTTAAATGGTTTTAGGTCTACACATATTAGGTTTCTTTTTTAATATAATTATATTTTCAAAATATTTCTATGAGGTATTTATTAGATAATTTAATCTTGATAAAAATATTTAATATAAACAAAGAAGACTGTCAGGATCTGGCTAAGCTGGCAATCGGGATTTTTTGGTTGGATATGAAAGTTCATTTAATGCTGAGTCCGATTATG